TTCTGCCCCCCCCCCCCACTCCCTTCATCTCACTCTTTGCACTTGAGCAGACAAAGAAAATAGCCGTTGGACTATGGGGGACGGGTCCTGACCCGAAGGTTGGTCAGTAACACTGCTGGAAGTATGTGGTGAGAAACTTTGCTTCAGATCTTGTTGTTAGATGCGAGAAAGCATCTTCTCTATTTTTCTTGTCATTTCTTACTTTTATGCTTCATTACTTGTATTCACTTAAAACCTATCTCTTTGGATAAAATGGTAAAACAAGTTTATTAACTACAATCTAGTGTGTTTTAACTTGGAGTGTCTGGGTACTTTATTTAAAGTAATAAGCAGTCATATTAGTACTTTAAGGAATTAAGGACTTAATTTATTTGTATTGTCCAGGAGAGGGCTGGGTAGTACAGGACATACATTTCTGGAGGGCAATTTAAGAGTGGGGGTGCGTGGGGGTCACACTGAAGTATAACCAAGGCTGGTGAGAGTCAGAGTGTAACCCAAGTGTGCCTGGTAGGCTGCAGTTACTTACTCTCTCTCTCTCTCTCTCTTTTTGAGGATGTGGTTTGCATGCTGGTAGGCTGTTTGTGTGTGGCCCTGGTGGGTGCTAGTTCAGCAAGGCATTGTAAGGCACCGAAGGTTACAGGGCAGGGGTGACACAGCTGCTCATAAGTCTGGATTGTACCCTTGCTATGTCACACCCACCCAGCTAGCACATCTGGAAACAGCCGTGTCTTAGAATAAGTGTAAAATCTTGGTCTCACGTGTTTTCTTTGCCTGGAGCAGGATTTCCCATTCCCAAACTTGTTGTGATCTCCCAGGGAAGAGACATGGGTCCAAGATCTCCAGGGCTCTGAGGAAAGGGAGATCCAGAGAGAGCCACACAGGTGAGGAATTGGTTAAACAGACGCAGAAGCCATCTGCCATTGATGTGGTATATCTTGACCGTAGTAAGACTTTTGATACGGTCTCACATGACCTTCCCATAAAGAAACTAGGGAAATACAACCTATATGGAGCTACTATAAGGTGGGTGCAAAACTGGTTGGAAAGCCATTCAGAGAGTAGCTATCAGTGGTTCACAGTGAAGCTGGAAGCGCATATTGAGTGGGGTCCCACAGGGCTTAGTTCTGGGTCTGGTTCCGTTCAGTATCTTCATCAGTAATTTAAATAATGGCATAGAGAGTACATTATAAAGTTTGTGGACAATACCAAGCTAGGAGGGGTTGCAAAGTGCTTTGGAGGATAGGATTAAAATTGAAAATGATCTGGACAAACTGGAGAAATGGTCTGACGTAAATAGGATGAAATTCAATAAGGACAAATGCAAAGTACTCCACTTAGGAAGGAACAATCAGTTGTACACACACAAAATGGGAAATGACTAGCAAGGAAGGACTACTGTGGAAAGGGATCTGGGGGTCATAGTGGATCACAGGCTAAATAAGTCAACAGTGTAACACTGCTGCAAAGAAAAAAAGAAAAAAAAAAAGCAAACCTCATTCTGCGATGTATTAGCAGGAGTGTTATAAGCAAGACAAGAAATAATTCTTCTGCTCTACTCCACGCTGATTAGGCCTCAACTGGAGTATTGTGCCCAGCTCTGCACCACATTTCAGGAAAGATGTGGACAAATTGGAGAATGCCCAGAGAAGAGCAACAAAAATGATCAAAGGTCTAGAAAACATGACCTATGAGGGAAGATTGGAAAAAAAAAATGGGTTTGTTTAGTCTGGAGAAGAGAAGACTGAGAGGGGATATAACAGTTTAAGTACATAAAAGGTTGTTACTAAGAGGAGGGAGAAAAATTGTTCTCTCTAACCTCTGAGGATAGGACAAGAAGCAATGGGCTTAAATTACTGCAAGGGCAGTTTAGGTTGGACATTAGGAAAAACTTCTTAACTTTCAGGGTAGTTAACCACTGGAATACATTGCCTAAGGAGGTTGTGGACTCTCCATCATTGTCTAACCTGCTCTTAAAAATCTCCAAACACCTGTCAGGGATGGTCTAGATCAGAGGTTCTCAAACTGTGGTCCATGTACCACCAGTGGTCCGCGAGCTCCATTCAGGTGGTCCATGGATAGTTCCCTCTAAGGTGCACACTTGGGTGGCTGCACACAAGAGAATGAAGGGCCACCCACCTAATTAGTGGACCATGCAGGTGTGGCTCCAGTAATTAAATGTCTGGACCCTGGAGAAGATGCACATGTAAGGTGAGGTGGCAGTCGTGGGGGGAACAGGGGGTAGGTGGGAGGTGGCAGTGGTAAGAGAAGAGGGGGTGGGGGGAATTTGGGACATGCAGGGCTGCGGCGGCCAGAGAAAGAGGCCCCAGTTTGGAGGATGCTACGGTGGGGGAGAGAGGAAAAGACCCCCCCCTCCTTCCCAGTCCCAGCTTGGGGGCTGCCACGGCAGGGGAGAGAAGGCACATCCCTTGCATTAGAAAGGTAAGACTACTGATATTAAAGTAAGAGTTGTCCTTTTATTTGTAGAACAAAAAAACTAATTATTAATTTTTTAATATAGCGCTTTTATCCAAAGTGCTTTACAATCGTTAGCTAATGGTACAAACAACATTTGGAAAGATCATTAAGTGGTCCACTGAGACCCTCAGCAATTTTCAAGTGGTCCGTGAAAAAAAAAAAGTTTGAGAACCACTGGTCTAGATAACTTAGTCCTGCCTCGAGTGCAGGGGACTGGACTAGAAGACCTCTCGAGGTCCCTTCCAGTCCTACAGTTTTATGTAAACAGCTGAGATTCTCACAAAGGCCTGTGAGCATCTCCAGGTCTCTGTCCCCAGGTCAGGATTGTCCCCAGCGGGTAGTGTATACACATGGCAGATGTCGCTCGTGACTTCCCACCCACCCTCACTGACCCCAGGGAGCAGCTCCCTGCTTTTGAATGTTCGGATGGGATGTGGGAGCAGAATAGGGTCTCCCCCCTTTCCCCCCCAAAAATGTTTTGGGAAGGATTTAGATTCTGAGTTTTCAATTATCCCAGCAGATATTTTAATTTGTTCCCCCCTTTCCTGTTCCACTTTCTGAGATTCCCATTTGTACCAGGGGCTCGGGTGGTCAGGCAGCCTAGTGGTAAGATCGCCAGGCTCTCTCTCAGTCCCCTACTGGGCTGTGTACTTTGTCTTTAAGGCCAGGGGAGTGGTAAGGGGCACCCAGGCCCTCCCTCTCCACAGGGTCCCAGCCCATAGCCCTGTGTATCTCAACCCCTGAACAGGGTGGGGTTGGTGTCCCTCCTGGGAGTGAGTCAGAACCCACTGCCCTGGACTACTTCCTACAAGTCCATTCAGTTTGGGGCATGGCCCCTCTAGTACAATCTGCCAATGGTTTGCTGCCCATAGGTTCCCTCTTGGGTCTAGGGAAATGCCTTGATGTGATCCCAGGTCCCTTCAGGCAAGGTGAGGACGAGCCCCACAATGTCTCTGGAGTCTGCTCAGTCTGATACCTGTGGTGCTGGGGGTTCATTCGCAGTCTCCCCTTGGTTGAGGAGCAAGTTCTGGCTTCCAGGTGGCTGCCTTGGCTGGCAGGTCACTGCTCCATCCCTTCAGCCCTGAGCAGAACCAGGGTCCCTTCTTTTATCCTCCCTCCAGTCCTGGCATTGTTTGCAGGTATAGCAGGATGGGGCTAGCTTAACTCAAACACTTTCTTTAACCCTTGCTAAGGCAGCTGGCAGTTTCTCTGCTTCATTGCGCTCTTCTTCCAGTGCAGGGACTGACTCCTGTCTGGATTGTCTCTGTCACATCAGGTGATGGTATGGTGAGTGAGAACAAGGAGGAGCATCCTCAGCAGGGAGGTCCTGGTCAAATGGAAGCACAGAGAGCACTATCGGGAAGATCTGAAGGGGATGTGTCCTGGAGTCCTGAGCAGGGAGAAGCCTGCGAAAATCAGCACAGGCCAGAGGTGCAGCAGGGAACCTCCTCAGGGGAGAGACAACAGGGTGAATCCACTGACCAGGGGGTTGGTTTGAAGGACCTTTCTGAAAACATGATCCAGCCAGGAATCTGCACTAAAGGGAAACTGTATGAATGTGCTGATTGCGAAAAAATCTTCAGTAATGACTCATCCCTGATTGTTCATCGGAGAGTCCACACAGGAGAGAGACCCTATAACTGCCCAGAGTGTGGGAAATCCTTCC